ATCACAAAGTTTCTAGTGAAATAACACTTAATAATTTCCACAGCACATTTCATCTTCAAAATGCTACACAAACATAAACTCAGTTAATCACCTCTCCCAGTATCCCTCAGAGGCAGGGAAGTGTCATTACCTAGGTATAATCAAAGGGGAAGACTTAAATGACACACGACACCTTGCCCAGGACAACATAAAGGCTTTGGGTTTGTTTTGGTCTCTCAGCGTAGGTATCTAATGCTCTTTGAGATGCTGTAGTGTGCCTTTGGGGATGCACAGGGGTCTGGCAGGTAGGGAACAGCAGCCCCAGGATCCCTTCTGTAGCAGCTAGAGGCTAGAGGAGACAGACTGGAGTATTTCAGATGGTGCGAGACACTGATATCTACACAGCTGAGCCCAGTGACAAAGCATTAGACAGTAGGAGATTCCAGCATCTAGACTGTGGGATCCCAAAGGAAAAAAACAAACCAACCCACAAGCCTCTTCCAGACCATTCAAAATCCAGAATAATCATCTACATGTGGTGCAGCACTCTTCTTACTGAGCAAGCCTGAACAAACACGCGTATATTGTGTTCTCTGTGCATTAGGTGACTCTCAAATGCAGCAGCTCTTCTACGGTGCCACAGCGCAAGGTCACAAGCTTGGATGCAAGCTCTGCTGGGATTCTCAGCCGTTAGAGCACAAGGTTGCGGACGAGAGACAGTTGTCTGCTTTCCTGCATGCTGGGATGAGCACACCTGTACTTATCCCACCAGCAGTCTCCCCTTCAGAGACACACATCCAAGGATGTAATGGGCCTACAGGAAGGATTATTACTCAAAATTCATGTTGGTTCAGTTTGCTTTTCTTAATGTAAGAGAATAAACATAAACAATTACATTAATGCAGCTTTGCAGACAGTGATCTTGGTGAGTGAGCACCTATGCACACAGGCTCAGTCAATCTGGAGTGATGTTTACCACTGCAATCTTAGTTTCACTCTGTATTTTTCCAGAAGAGTTATCACAAGTAGAAAATACTATACATTTGCACAAGGCAACAGAGGCATGGCTGCCATGAGAACCACAACACTCAAAATTCCCCCTTATTTTTTAGTCCATATAAAATCTCAATCAGAAAGCATGTTAATGGGCTGCATGGGCTTTATGCTTGATACATGCCATATTTTTACAGTACATAAGGGTTTGGGATTTTTTGTTACTTCTGCACATTTTGCTTAGAAGTTTATTAGCTTCTGTCTGCATAGATTGGACTTCTATTAACCTACATCACACAGTAATTATTTCATTTGCCCTTATGGTTTGCCCTTCATTTTCCTAATTTATTGGCAAATTAGGAAATAACCAAGACTGTCTTGAATCCTAGTTCTTCAGAGATCCCTGTGTGTCTACCCTTACGCGATGATAGCAACCTTTCTGTTGAACACTAAAAACTACTTCACACCCCTGCTACAGCAGATATGCTTTGCAGGCAACTACAGAACAGGGAGAATAGACAAAGCCATGTGTCCGCCCAGCCTTAAGTTTGTCCTTCCTGTATTCATTTCAACCCTCTGGGCTCCAGATCAGCGCACTTTATCACCAGTTTACATATAAAGGTCCAGCTAGGCCCAAGCTCTAGGCTTCTTCCAAGCTGGGATGGCAGAACCAGGGCATGGGGCAAAGGGGGATGTGAAACAAGAGGTGCCAGATTTGCAAGAGATGCCACTCTTTCTCATGCCTGCCAGATCCTCTGTCCTCCTGTAGTTCCTACTATCAATGTTTGTAATCCCACTTTGCACTTTTTTCTTCTTTCCTCTCTGCTTTGACTCTGATACTCCAAATAACAAAATATGGTATTGCTACCAAACACCCTGTTCAGCTTCTTTGGGGTGGAATTTTTCACCTACTGGTGAGATTTAATAAAAAAATAAGTTAAAAGGAAGTATGTGGGGAAAAAAAAAACAACCCACAAACAAACCAAAACAAAAACCTTTCCCTGGCTTCTTGTATAAAACTTATGTGAAAGACTACATCTGTAAACTAATACTTTTGTATGTCTATTGTGTGTGTGAAAGAAAAGAATAATAGAAAACTCTCTAAAGGGTGAGGCCATGACCTATATAAGATTACCCATCTCTTTCTGCATGCACCATAGGAACTCCTGTACGTTAGTCCTTGAAATATCTCTCCTTTAGTTTCCTACTGCTGATCTCGTCACCATGGTGTCTCTTAGCACATCAGCTTTGTTAGCTGCATTCTGCCTAACTTAGGCATTGGGCACCTAAGGGTACCTTCACAGGTAATGCCTAATGTGGTAAATCTCTGAAATCAGTATTATTTCACTTCACATTAAGAAGCCTGATGCATCTGGCTCTTATCCATCTATTTGTCCTACATTCACATGGAAGCGTGAAGAAGGCAGATCTTGAAAACTTACTTCCAGGAAGGAAGGAATAAACCTGTCTGATGAAAACACAGGCAGATTTGGAGACAGGCCTAAAAATAAGACAAAGCACTATAGCAAAGCACTCAAGATGTCCCTCTTTATGAAAGGGCACTGACAAGTAAAGATAGTGACACAGGAACCCAAAGATGACTGAAAGGAAAATGAGTCACTCCTACACCTCCAAGTTTACATACCATTTTAAATCAAACAAGATTTGCCTCGAGGGCACTGGAATCTTTCCTCTTGATCTAGCAAGCACTCAGGGTGCTGCCTGTTGTGCCACTGAGCACAGACCTGTTTGCTCACAAGTAATTTACAGAGTCACTTCTCTCCAGGCACATTGGGAATGAAACTCTAGGGAGTTTAACTCACAGTGCCAAGGTGCCTCCTAGACAGGAATCTGCCCAGCTCCCCTTCTCTCTCAGCTTCTTTCCGGGATTAAACTACAAATCTTTATCTGTCTCTCAGTCAAATAGTCTCCACATATTTATGTGTTGGGTTTTTTTTCCGCTGCCGCTTCTTTGTCAAGCAGAAAAATATACCACTCAAGCAAACAAATCCCTGCTTGTTTCAGTTATGTCACCTGAGCTGTGACTCAGGTGTCATGGCTGAGTCTGATGTGTGAAACTAACCTTGCACGTCCTTCTATGACCATACGGCATTCTCAAACAGTTGACTTAAAACCACCTGGGCGTTTTTATACCTCAGTGATATACAGAGATTACCTAAACTCCCAGATACTGTAAAATCATTTTGTGCTTCTGATTTAACTTCTCCATAAACAACACAGCAGAAAAACAAGCAATGTGGGTTTGCCAAAGGAATTAATTAAATCTTTCTTTCTTAAAATGCTTGCAGGCTGTAGATCTTTGAACAAAACTGCAGAGTTGTATGCTCCCCAAGTCTGCTCTTAACCTTCTCTTGGAGTCTTAAGGTTTGTCCCGTGTTATCAGCATGGAGAGAATCTATTTTTTCATCTCTCCCCTACGCATTCCTCAGACAAGGAGGTCTGGCTACACTGAGACTCTTCCCATTTTAAGCAGAGGTCTGAGCTGCATACTACTTACCGAGCCTGTTGCTGCAGACAGCCTATGTGCAAAGGTGTCTCTAAGAAAAGTCAGCAGCAGAGCCACACCAGCTTCGCATTGTAACTTTGATGGCTTCTGTACAAAACATCTTCTGGGCAGGGCAACTATTCTGAAACGCAAAGCTGTTCAGAGGCAACTTCAAAACTGCATTCTAATTTTAGATGGGAGTTCATGATGCGACACACCTCAGTCACAGCAAAACACGGAAACAGCCTCCAGGGGAAGAAAAGAGATGCAAAGAAAAACGTTTGCAGAAGAGGAAAATGACACTGATGCGGCTTTTCCTCATGTCACTACTTTAGAGCATGCCTAAAGGAAAAGGTTTATGTCCAGGTTAAATCATAACATTAGAAGACCGAGAAACTGCCACCCGACGATTTGAGACAGAAAGCTTTAACGTGAGGCTGCTTAAAGCACAAGGTCTCCTCAGGGCCCCAGTGTCAGCACGATGCGAAACGCAGGAGCAGCAAATTCCCTCAGGCTCTCGAGACTAAATCGCGGAACAGGCCAAATCGCGGAACAGGCCAAAGCGCGGGGTCTGACCCTTTCTCCCCTTTTGCCTGGCGTGCCCAGGCCCGGCCACCACTTCGCCACGGCCG